CATCCCTGACGGACACCGCTTTGTGTGCGGAAGCTTTTGGAGAGCTCTCCGTACACTCACACGTTCGGAAGTCTGAGAATACAAAGAACGTATTATGTTCACAAACTTCCGGGGCATTCCTTGGTGGGCAAGCGTCTCAAGAAGAACAGACCGATCAACCGAGTCGAATGCGCCTCGGAAATCCAGGAATACTAGAATTGTGGGTCGCTTATACGTATGGCGTTGTTCTAGCACCTGACGCAGTGTGAAGATTTGGTCAACACAACCCCTGGCCGGCCGGAATCTCGCTTGCTGCTCTCGGGTCATGAATCGCAGTTACGAAATAATGTGGAGATTCAAACAGCCGAAACATACGATCCAGCTCGCCTCCATACATCCGATATTTGCTTTCAGACGTAGAATTACGTGATCATACGGAACAGAGAAATATCAAGGATACTGGGAAATTATTCAGCATCGTAGAGATTCCTAAACTGTGACCCCAGCATTTCCGGAGTAAAAAGTTAACGAATAGAGTAAAGATCACTTGCAAAGACGGTATCGAGAAAGCTAAGTGATCAAAATGCGAAACTACTGACTAGAAGATTTGTGGTTCGAAATCAACCTTGGTATCTGTTTCGGCCTGGGTAATATGACAGCATCTCAGTCCTCATACTTCCTTCGGATGGCATGGAAGCTACGTACTGAAGAGGTGTTGCAGCTGAACGAGTATAAGCATAAGCCTTATGGGAGAACGCTCGGGAATGACTGAAGTCGTGTCCGGAAAACTTGGAAGTCTCTCTATTCTTACCAAACTTTATTTTTGACGAATCGTCCCAGCCACTTGTCAAGTTCAGTTACTTTGGTGGGAAATGAATGCTAGGTTTCTCACATGGTGCCCTAATATAGTACATATGTACACTTACACAGTATCATACATAGTGCATGGTCATATAGTACAACGCGTGTTCTTCGATTAGCAGAAGCCGTTTGAAGGCTAGAGCTATTTCCAGTGAGCAGTGATTGCGAAGGGTGAGGAATAACGCACTACTTTGCCAGAAGACGAGCCTTCTGAAAGAACGCCTTTGTACTTTCAACGGCCATTCACCTCGTTTATTTTGCCACAACCTCATGGATGAATCAGATGAACCCAGAATTCGAGCAAAATTGAACTCCTGGGTCGTTGGGCGACGAGAAATCGTCTTGGCGAAAATGCAAACGGTAGACAACAAAGAACGAATTAGACTTGAAGAATAGCAAGACACAATCGATCATATGTGCATGCTGCGTAAACTGCCCGCGCCACGAGTTGTGAAGATGGTACGACCAGCTTTTGAGACCCTGGGTAGAGCAACAACATGGTGTTTTCCAAAAAGTGCCGAAAAAGCAGCCAAACACCCATCATGCACCCAAAGCACGACAATCATCGAAGTAATATAAACTAGAAAATCCCAGTGCTGTTTCATATTTTTTGGATACATTTAAGTTAGCAGTTTCTCCGATCTGGTGACAGTTGTTCCAAGTGTACATTAATTGTGCGAATTCGAATATGGCGAGCAACCTGTTCGCATTAGATGGACCTATAAAGTGCTCTGGACAAGCACGTTTACCAGAATACCCTCGTGTCCAACAGGTTCGAGATGATAAATGAACACACACTGCAGCGACTCGCTTAAATTGATCGGGAAATTAGTCAGCCGAAACATACACCCAAGAAGAAAGGACACAGGAAAGCGCTTAAATTGATCGGGAAATTAGTCAGCCTAAGAAGAAAGGACACAGGAAAAGAAACTTCTGAAGAATCTTTGGTCGAAAAACAGCAATCAAAATGTTTGCGGCTGCAACCTGCTATGGAAACCGGATCGGGGTTAGACGTTGGTGATCCACATTCGACCACAGGTGAATGGAGGCAGCTTGTAGATCAAGAAACTACCAAGCACTATAGGCTGCGTGATATATTCAGAAGTCCCAGTTACCGGTTGTGCCACAGTTGCTCGTTTTGCAGTTCCAAAGTTGAATAAAACGAAAATCATTTCGAAAACGATTTTGTCCAAAACAATCGGATGTTACTTTCACACTGAGGCACCCAAAGATACATTTGCTAGCATAGCTCGAGATAGCTCAAGTGGTTAGAGCGCGAATTTACTGACCGAAAGGTCTATGGTTCGAACCCGAATTGCGCCTCTCAACTCCCCCTGTCTACTCTTGGGCAACCTGGCAGTATCCCAATCCTCGTGCAACCTTCAGGTGGCATAGCAGTTAGCCACCGAAAGGGTGCTACAGCTGAATAATTTTTTATAGCTCCAGATCAGATAACTGGCACTTATACTCCAATTCCTGTTTATTTCCGCTTTCCTCCCCGTTGTTAATACCAGGTCCACCTCATTCAGTTCATCCTGGGCGTCGTATCAGCCAAGTTTAATGCTATTTACTGTAATCTGATGCAATAGCATTTGCTGTAGCGTGCACCGGTTGGAGAAACGATTCAATAGCCACTCACTAGCAAACAAAATAAACACACGATAATTGCATGGGAAATGATAGATCCGAAACAAGTAGGTAATTCGGCACACGCATTGTGTGTCATAAAACAGCCCGAACTGTTGTTGTCCAAAAACTCTAGGCGAAACGTGGCTCCACTGCAGCTAAAAATGCAGCTGTATCAAAGGCGACGACAAGTGACCATAGTCAGATTTGTTTCCAAAGGAAGCAATCACATCGGTACTTCCAGAAAACAGTCAAATGGTTCGGTTTTTGGAGAAAATTGTCCTTGGTGTTGTGGCTAGAACCAACTTCCAAACAGTTCAGAACCTCCCAGACCTTACAATGAGTGGTAAAAAACTACATTGGTTTGATGTATTCAACTTATCGTTCAGCTGTAGCACCCCTCCGGTGCCTAATTGCCATTCCACACGAAGGAGGCACGAGGGCTGGGATACTGTCAGGTTGCCAAAGCCTAGACAGGGGAAATCGAGAGGCAGAGGTCGGGTTCGAACCACGAATCTTCCGGTCAGTAAATTCGCCCTCTAACCACTTGAGCCACCTCAACTTGCAAATGACGCAAAGATATCGGTGTTANCTCTAACCACTTGAGCCATCTCAACTTGCAAATGACGCAAAGATATCGGTGTTAGTGAGGGAAGAGTTTCACATGTACTTACCGGCTTTGGGCATAATAATAGTCGATCAGATGTTGAAGCAGGTCAGCACTCCGTTTTGCCTTTAGTTCGTTCACTTTGATCAGATACTATCAAAGGAGAAACAAACAATGTTTAGGATGCAGAAGAAACCATGGCAACTGTAGGTCGATGTGCTCCGGCAGACTGTAGAGTAGAAAAACATTATTCATCTATGCAAATGATCCTCAACAATGAACCGAAATCAACCACGTTACAAACCAGCTCCAGAGAGCGCCCGTAACATCCTTCATCTGAGCAAAAGAACAAGAAACAAGTTGTGAATCCACTGGAAACTATGAGCTAATGGAGATAGGAAGGAACGATGAGTGAACATCTATTTGGCCGTAAGGGAAACTACTCACAAGGTTGCTGAAAACTCATCGACAGCCCACGACCGGTTTCGCACTTCTTGGGGCTTATCAGGTAGGCGCAGTTCCCGAGTTTCCGTCAACCTTATGTTCTACTTAAACCCAATTGGACTGTTTTCGAGAAATACACTCATTTGCAAATCAATCTGGCTTTCACGAGAGACTCAACTGAATCCCTCATTTATGATATTCTAAGGCTGCACACAGGTCGCCTCATGTTTCAGTTGGCACGATATTCGTCCTATACACGAAACAGTTGCTCAGATAATTCCGAAGGATAGTAACCCAGATGATTCGCAACGCCCTACAGATGTTACTTCCACACATGAACAACCGATACCTTAAACTTCTTGGAACGTTGACCTAAATGATATCGCCCGGTTCCTGAATGCTTTTGCACAACGGTGGGCAGGGTTGGGGACAAGTCCAGAGATTGGTCCCACTAGCCAATCTCAGTTCTGGTAAATACGCTGGACCCTCATGGCCATACTGTCCCATATTCCACCCAACGCAAGCTCGTAATTGTTTTAGGATCCTATTTTGCACAGCAGCAATCTATGAAACAGATGATTCATTTAGTTTCATCAAATGAAAACTTAAAAACAGAAACCGATTGAGGTCAGCAATGGCTACCGAGTCGAGGAGACTTGACCCAACTCTGTTGTAACGGTTTACGTCCCTCAGCAATCCGTTGAGTCTTATAGGAGGATCCCCATTCAACATCCAGAGAATCTCACCAGACAAACTTATCAATGGACGAACACAGTCTCTTGGCCCTCTGGGTACTAAATCGGAAAGTGTGATAACCACTCCCTTGAAATTTGGGCTATTCAAGTAGCCTCACGCTAGGCTGCGCTGTTTTGCGGTCAGGATTTCGAGTTGAAGGCTTTTATTCAGGACCTTAGTCGTCCAGGTCTTACAGTCTTGAAAAACCTCAAACCAAAAACAACAGTGAACTTCACAAACAAAAATTCTTCCATGTCACATGGACTGTCGCGTGGTGACATCAGCTGAGTGGCATTATTCGCTGTATAAATGAAAACATACGACTGTTGACGCCTTCCATCATTTCTCATTGCTATCTTTTAACTCCCCTTCTGTCTCTCTTGATAACCACTTAAGTAGATATCAGTTTAGGCGTATCAATCAGGCAGCCAGAATAGTGACACCACACACCACCGCTGACAACGAATGCTCCACCTCTTCACTCAAGCCCCGTTCTTCTATTTTTATTGCAAGCTTTAACGTGTGAACTTTTAAGCACATTAACTAACAGGATACTTTGGATACTTTATCGATCAACATCTGCCGCATCTCTGAAACTCTTTTGAACGTTATTGAGTTTATGTCACTTTCTGTATCCAAATACTGCCGACTAAGAACTTCAGGCGATTCTGCAGCCGTTGCTGTGGGTTATGGCAGTGTTAGTATAGTCCTCAGTTTGCGAACCAAGGCTTCAGTAATCCTGTAGATACCCATAAACAACCAACTCTGTGCTTTTCGACTTTCCACTTGCACTAAACAAAGTACCAACTCAATAATTATTGCTCTGATTCAATGAAATATATCACGGCGAACTAACTATCTTCTTGCCCAACACCACCGTAGACTGGTGGTATGTAAGGGCATGGGTATAGGAACAAGAGTAGAGGGCATGAAGTGGACGTATTTCACCGTAACCTGTCACAGTATCAATTCGATTTAACCAGGCACCGGTAATCGGGACCGGAATTTTCATGTGAGACTACACCCACGCCATCAACTATTCAATCCTAGAAACTCGAGACCGCCAATGAGAAACAATCAAAAGCGTTCAATTCAACCCCAGGCGAAAGTTACGAACATCGGTAGTTGAAAAGACGCAAAAAATATGTTCCGATCGCCAGACAGCCAGAAAACCCAGTAGTACGTCTACCAGGGGATGCAAAACTCAAATGGGGTATTATCGAACTTGCAGAAGCTTGAAAGAATGCCACGATGCCCATAGAAGGCAAATACCTCCTATCCAGACGGAAAAGATTGTGTTTTGCACAACTCACTTCGCACGTTTCGAGCTGTAGTTTTCGCCGCTCCTTTTCTAAATCCTCTGTCATTTCCGTGGTGAAGACTTCTGGCGTAAAAATTCCAGTTTCTTTCATTATCTGAACCTTTTCTTTACGTAACTTGTCACTGGGAGAAAAAAGTAAGACGGCAAGATATGGAAGCAACCGTGAAACACAATTCAAACGCTAATTATTCTGAAAAGGCCAAGTGTAAATGAGGGCCAGGCAGGCAGACGATGTATCGAAGATATAAATCACATTCTACTCCAATTCTCTCTTGCACATCACAAACGTTTTATTAGGAATGGTCCACCAAAAATGAGCAATCTGAAAAGACATAACTTTGACTAACTCCGACTAACTTACACCGAGGACTAGTGTGAGTAGTGCTCAAAACCACAATGAAATGTCGGAACGTCGAGAAATCTCACCCGATATTTGGGTGCATGGTACAGTCGGAACGGGGTAGGAACGTTAGCTCCCTTGCAGCTGCATGACTGCCATTTGTCCTGTGTGGTTGAGCTACTAGATGTGGATAAGCCACCTGCAATGAGTGAAGAACCGCGAAAAAACAGCGGAGGAACTGTCTAGCCTTCACGTGGTCAGTTGGTTTCGTGTGAAAAACTACACGTACTCAATCATGTAGAGGGTCAGTGTGACTAGGCATCTAGAGTTAGTGCGTTAGGAGTACAGGGAAGGCTGAATCATGTTAGATCCATCACAGTATTGATTACGATCAATTCCTAGTAGGCTTTTACTCAAGCAAAAGTACAAATGGTACATGAAGTTTGTAACTGGACAGTGTTCTACTTTGGATTCAATTGACACACGCAATCGTGACGTTTACGATGCATCCTGGGGGCCTACACATCACTTAAAAGGTGTATGAACTAAAGTCTTGGAACAGAAGACAGAAATTAGTATTTTGTCCCGATATTTTGCCAGTCAGGTTATTTCGCCAAAAACTCCAGGTGCCCTCCAAGAAAACCCTCTACTTCGGAGAAAACAAGCGGTACTTCAGTCATCACACGAATCCTGAACCCAAACGATCTCTCTCCTATCTTCCCCTTTCCCTCTGCTCAAAAATTCTATCTCTCTTCATGCACAAACACTCCTTTGTATTGGTGTAGCCATGCTGTTTATCCGGGTCGACTGCTTTCACTTTACCACTACCACTAATACTACCGTTCAAGAAATGTTCTCTCTTGTTTTTCCTATCAACTCTGCAGGTGGACCACTCGGTGAAGAGAATGAGCAACAAGTTGCTGTCATGGCAGACGACTCGCTAAACAAGACATACATGAAACTACCTGCATACAGAACGAACACACGAAACATTCCCACCTTTCTTTAGTTGTTTTGTTTCTGGCACGGTTGATATATTCATGATTCGTCCGGTAACATCCACAACGACAGTTCGTTAACTTGCGCATTCTATTTGGAATGACCGAAAACTCTTTGCATATACTACCATCGATCTTCAGCTCATTAAATCGTGTGTCGTTGTGCGAAATATGTGGGATATTTGAAAAAAAAATGCACAACTTTTGGATGTCCTTTTGGTTATGAATGAAGCACTCGAATTACGAGTCACGTCTGTTCTTCAATATACTTGAAACCGTAGCTAACAGTAAGCGTGGGAGACTTGGACAAGGATCTATCCTGGCAAGATCACAGACAGCTGGGACAAACGAGGATCATTCTATCGGGGGGAAATCCTCTACTATATAGCAGGGATTTCTAAGGAAACACCACGACTGAGATTCTCGCCATACGCTCACACTATTGACCTCGCAGTGCGAATAAGATATACACTTTTGTAGCAAGCGGTTTTCTCGAAAACTCTATTTTTGTAAATGTCAGATAAAAGCAAAGGCGTTTATCTAGTTGTATTCACAAACCGGTATAAACTTCTGGCCTACACGTGAAACAGGTTCATCTATTACGAAGTTTGCAAAACGAGTGTTGGAAAAGTGGGATCGACAGGTGCATGCTCAGAAATTTGACGTTTATCCCCACTTGTTCATGGTTTGAGACACCGCAAGATATGGCTGCTAACAGATGTCAGTAGCATTCTTGTTGTCAGCCTCTAACCCGAGTGTATGAATGAGTGTCCGAAAGCGTAGGCGTCTCGGAATGATGGTGGTACGTTAGCACTAAGTCCGTTCCCCATCCACTTCTATACCTTTCTTCACAATTAGGCTTTTAATCAAATTATGAAGAGCCAACCGTCAGTCTATGAAAACTGATATGCTGTCGATAATGATGAGGATTATCCCACCTTTGAGGGGATCGTCTACAAAGATTCCCTAAAGAGTTTGTAAGTGTTGCGCGAGCCCTTTGCAAGTGGTAGACTGCTGGTACTACGGGCAGAAGCGCAAACTACAGAAAATATATGTACGACTACTTTGCTAACAGAGGGGCCGGTATAGCAGTTTAAGAAGAATCTGTGGGAGAAGAGCTAAACGACAGTTCGCCCTCGGTATTACATCAATCTCTGTTTTTTCGGAAAAGATGACGATGGATAAGCCTGAAGTCCTTATATGGTCAAGCACTCATGAGGTCACACATCGAAGATATGGGTGATACATGACACCTAAAACAATACAAATGAGTCACGGGTCGCATCGTTTCACGAGAGAAGCGTTCGGTGGATTTCATGGACGGTAAACGCCCTGTAAGTACCATTTGCATTCGCTTAAGAACTATCTGGAGTTGTCTGGAAATGTGCTGGGAAAAACTCCAGAGTACTGCACCACTTTCGAAGGTCCTCTGGTTTGAATACATTCAAATGAAATGATCTCTGTTTTTTCATGTCATTCACTTACACGTTTACGTCCGTGACCCACATTCATGCTATCTATGATATCGTGTCCGACCGGAACTCACACCGAAAGCAAGCGACCGATGAAGGTAAAGGGGGGCATATATTAAAAAAAAGCAACTTTAACGGAGAACAATATCGGCATGACGGTACTTTGACCTCATTATTTCACACACTACGGTTGGTCCTGGTACATTCGGAAACATCTGGTAAAATGGGTGCCACAGGTGAACACACAATCACTGTTTGCGTGTTACCTAACCGTAAAGCTCTATCACAAGGCTGGTCAGCTTTGACCGGTTCAACAGACAGAATAATTCATAGTCGTGTGCAGTGACATGTGAGGGAAACCAGGTCATTTGTGCGTCATGAATGAACATCAAATTTGGTCCAAAAAATGCAACCTGAAACTTACTATTTGTATTCATATTCTTTAAGTGCTCTTTCAAACGGTTTTTTCCAGTCCGCTTTTACATCTCCCTGCATAAAAGCTTCCATTGGAAAGATAAGAATGCTGTTCATATTTTGCATCTGCGTATCCAATGAAAGTGGCGGAGGGTAAATGATAAAGATTCGAGAATAGCAAGTTTCGTGTCAACATTCTCGATAAACTTTGCCCACATACCGCGAAGGTAAGTTGAGAAAAGGGTAACGTGCACGGTTGTACATAGCTGGGAAATTCGGTAAACTGTACGCAGGTGACAAGTTCATGAGGAAAATAAAAGATCTAATTCTACCAGAAGAAAGAGTGGACAACAGGAACAGGTCACCCACCCTAATTGAAAGGTGACGATCATCAGTTTAGAGCACCAAAACTATGTAATAGGCTCACTGAAGAAACGATATTCCAATAGATCACCTGCTTTGAGACTACTTTTCACATAGGTCATTGGCGTGAAGCACACATCTCAGAAATAAAGGAAAAACAAACTAAAGGGCTAAGCATGATGCAGCTATAAAAAGTTACGACAAAAATGTATTAAAGCAGATAAGCTAGCATCTGAGGATTAACAGTAGTGTTACCAAAACTCGGTGTATATTTGCCCTCCATCGAGGACTGAGTATCGACCGCAATAAACAGAGAGCTCTCAAAAATCCAGGATGCAGCCACCTATCCCTAAAAGAGTCCGTACTAACTTTGATCACTGTCACCACCATCACCATGGGCATCAGTATTGGCAGTAAGCCGACATCATCATCATCATCAAAGACAGCAACATCAGTGTTGGTACTGATGTTTCACTGTCGTACTTTTGTAAGCCGACAAGGCTTATTCAATTAGTTTCAAGGCCTTTAAGAGCGACCGAATGGTGAAAGTAACCGGTGCTAGTCTTATGCCTACTTCCAAATGCGCAGCCAATATGCCGTCAAAACAAGAGTGTCACCAACAGCGCACTGTCACCTTGAATGGTGACAAAACGTTTGTAAATCAAGTGCCAAGTTCGGCGAACAGATTGACAGCCACCCGATCAACTACCAAGAGTAGAACTTACTGCGATGTGACCACTTGCTCACCTCTATTGCCCATCCAGCTATACTGGGTTGATTACGTGTGACACTCACAGAGCCTGTCATCACATTAGCCAATGAGTAGAGGTCTGACTAGCCAGGTCTCCTTGTCCTTTACGCCGAGGGTTGGAACACGTGTGGCGACTTGCCCTTTGAAAATGTGGGTTGCTGTCATTTTCCTACGTCAACCATCGCTACCTTGCGGTTGGGCTTTTGAGACTTTGGTTGAGAACCTTATTCGTCCTCCTATCTAGGCCTCGGTGCCTTAGAAATATTCTATCCCACGTACGAACATGAACTGCACACCTATAAATAATTTCACACTACATCGGCGCGTGGTGTCATCAAGGAAAACAGGCTAGAGCTGATGCCTCGCCTGTTCCTCTTTCACATATTGGTTATTTTTTCCCTCCTCACTCCTTTGCTAGCGACATATCGTTAGGTTCATTGTTAAGTACTGAGGGATGCGTTAATTGCACATTGCCGTTAGCTGCAATATCTACGGTTAACTTGGCCATCGCAGCAGTAGACACTTCACTATCTTCAGATTTTTCATCACTCAGCTTTACCTGGAATCGGCTGAAACCAGCGCATTCGGAATGAAGTTATCAGGAGACGGGTTTTTGGCTAACCAGACGGAATATATCTATGGCAGTGGAACCTAAGGGTATCAGAACTCATGTGCTGTCGATGATAATAACGGTGACAAAGGATGCATGCAGCGCTGCAAGCTAAGGTGGCCGGGTCAAGTGTTACGCATGCCCGGTTACTTGCTGAAACGAACGCTGTGGTTGACCGTCCCTTTTTTCTTCTTTCCATCACAGGGTTTTATTCAATAAAGTGAACATGATTGTACGGCGGTAAAGCGTTAGTGTTCTCATCTGTCAACGCAGATGATGACTCAAAAGAAAACGAGAGCAGGAACGTCGCTGTTATTGATTATCCAACATTTTTAGCAACGTCCATAAGGAAGAGTCTGTCTTCAGACCCCCATCAAAGATACAGCCCTTTCTATAGAGGAGAATGTCGGTAGCTCAGGTAGCGTAGCTGGTCGTTAGTGGTTGTGCCTAACCCACCGCTACGCACAACTACGCACTGATGATGTCACCTCGATTGGTGATGAAACGTTTGCAACCAAATTGCCCAGCTCAGCGAACAAGCCAACGACCAGCTACAGCCCTATCAGAGATCGAATGTTTGGAAGAGCTCGAGTGGGCATAGGCCACAGGCATAAGTTCCGGCATCAAGCAAAGATTTTGAAACTTGTCTGCAGTGAATGTTGACATCCGATTATGGAATGGCAGGCACTGGGGAATTCGGTTCTGATTCGTTTGCTTCATTTCTGAGTTGACGAGCTTTGCAATGGACAAGATAGGTGTGCACGTTCTCTGCAAACTTGAATACCATGATGGAAGGAAGTAACGAACAAACACCATCGTAAAGGGATCGAATTTTTGAAATGTGAATTCGTATCTCCCAGGTGAGGCCACCTTAGCTATCGGTTTTTCTACTCGTTTATCGTGCATTTTATTAACAGGTACCTCTTATTATGGAGTTACCTTAGCTGTCTTAACATTGTCACAATGCGAATACGCCACAAGACGTACTCGGTTGTGTTAGCGAAAATCAAAACATGGTGAGGAACTTACCAGATGTTTCGACATATTGGCCAAGTCTCGGTGGACGACTGAAAACTTGCACAGACTGGCGGCAATCTCGGTGCCATGGATTTCGTCACTTTCCAGGGCAACTTGACCAAGCTTTTCTAAGTAGTCACACAAGGTAATTATACTATCAGCATGATCTGAACGTTTGAGGATATATTGGGGTGTAAGATTTACTTACTGGTTCCAGATGAAATCACTGCCTTCAGCAACTTTTTAGCCTTAAGGAGGACATTTCTGTCATTTTCTATGCCCTGAAAACATGAAGAGATGAAGTGGCAAAAATAGTCATACCGAATGTAAATAACGCATATATACGGAGTAGTCCGTCTAAAGTGCGACCACTAACAAGTACCAACCTCGCCGAAAAAAAATTAACGGACCCGAGAATCTTTATGATACGATATTCCGAATAAGCGAAAATCCTCCCTAAAGGTGACAAGAAATACCCTATAAGCACCTGACACCTGGTAAATATCCCAGGGGTCGAAACTTTTAAGCACGATTGGCGCGCAACGCTCAGAGAAGTTCGTCTGCCGACAAATCTTCAAGCGCGCTCAGCAAACAAACCTAACGACCAAGACGTATAATGCTCATACTTAGCAAACATCGTTCGCATGGACCAAAAATATGTTGGGTCACATATGCTTAAATTGTTGCTCCCAGACCGAACGAGTGCAAAAATGAAATCCACATCGCTCGTTCCACACCGAGATCATCCTTGCTGTTCTTGCATTCAAATACCACTGCAAGACAACACAGAACAAGTGGCTGTTGAAAAGAAGGTCAAGCTCAAATCCTTGGGTTTCGTGGTTCGCTGCATGTGATCTTTCGAAAACACTGAGCATTATCGATTCGTCCGATTGGATGGGGAGGAGGCCCGTCTCCCACAGTGAGCCGAATAGGATACACCATTACAGGTTAGATGATTCGCCTCCATCCTCAAACAGCGCAGGTAAGAGCTCGTAAGGATCACTAGCACGATGCCGCTTAAAAGCCGTCGGGCTTGCCACGTTCGAAGCCTAGAGTTCCATGGCGCACTTGAAATCCGAATAAAATGTGGCAGGTGGCAAGCTGAATCGTTGCTCAAATTGCTCTGTCCAAAGGGTTGGGCATTATGCTGATGTAAATCAGCGGACAATCTTCTTCGTTGGTGGTTTGATAAAACAAGGGCTTCTGGAATGAAGCATCAGGATTCGATATGGCCCAAGTGGTTAGAGCACGAATTTACTGAACGGAAGGTCCGGGGTTCGAATTCGACCTCCACCACTCGACTTCCCGTCTAGGCTTGGGTAACCTGGCAGTATCCCAGCCCTCGTGCTTCCTTCGGGTGGCATGGCAGCTAGGCGCCGGAAGGGTGGCTACGGCTGAACGCTCTCTTTCTTTTCCACTACTCCACTTCCTCAGAAACCTGAATAAATAAGATTCTTAGCCGGCAATGAAGGCGCCTTTGGTGCTTTGCTCTTGATCCATCGTGTACTCCTCATAACCCGATGGATTCGATGAGTACGTAACAGTCCCAAAGCTTCCGTCACCTCTTGATAAATCTTAAAATCCGTCCACGGTTTTTCGCGATGCAATACCGTTGGGAAAAAACGTATGCATTAACCGGGCCTTGTATCCTTCGGGAAAAGACCACGTGCGTCCTCCAGTTCAAGATCATGGTTAATGGATCAATTAATGGTATTCGCAGCCGGAAGCTCCATAAAGATTTTACGGGCATAATCAGAGACGCAAACCCGGTACCCAACGGAATAACGGTCATTGGTGTTAATGAGATTGGGGCAGTCGAGGTCAGAGATGCCAGTAAGGTCCAACTGTAAGATAAGTTCTGGTACGCTGTGAGACCAGTGCAAACCATTCCAGTAACATCTGTCACAAGTTGAAACATGAGTATGGTCATGAACAAGTCGATAATACACGACTATGAGAGTAGGCCCCAACGCACAAGATCCCAAATTACTTCAAGTGCAATGATGATTCGACTATTCTCGGCACATTTACGATTAATAATGCAAAGTACACAACTCCAGACCATCGGAGACCAGTGCACAGCACGGAATTAAATGGCTTGGAATGAATTTCATCCATGAATCAGTATAAGTAAGATTAATAATCAACAACTCCTGTTGCATACGGGTAAGAAAAAACCCCACTGACAAGAATATATCAGAGAAGAATTCTAGCCGAATATAACCTGTATCCAAACCAATCCTATTCAAGTTCCATCCAAGATGAATAGCACACTTTTAGGAGCGGTCCTGATGCATGCAAACGTGCAAAGCCGATCTTCCTCAAGTGAACATAAATCGGTTCGACGTTTTTATGGGGCGATCATGAGCAAACACAACCAACCACATATGACATCTACCATAAGTAAAATTTTCGTCAAAAAGAAAACGGCTACAATAGATGGGCTTGCATTTTGGTAGCTGCCAAACATCGTACTACGTAACACCGACGTGCAGCGCCATATAGGTAGCCGACATAACTTGCACGAACGTTGAATCTTGCCCGATAAACTTACTACTTAGATGTTAGAAAGTAGACAACCCAGTTGTCAACGTGCGCCCTGGAAGCTTCAGGTGACAAAACCCCTGGCATTGTCCCAATTATTCGTTACTTTCTGGATGACGAAGCACTCTTCTTCCGCACGTCACCCATTTCCAAACTCTTAACGTGACCGAGAACACCCTAACACCTCTCTATTCGAGAAGTTTCAACCTAAGCAGGTACCTACCAAAAGAAAACGATTGTTTTTCATTGTCCGGCAACCGCTATAACTCGCGAATGGATGCACCCCTCGCTATATATCGAACCCCACCCGGGGAACTGGCACTGGCACGCTAACTACCTGACGATGGCACCCCAAGGAACGCTGCTAAGCCATTCTTTCATCTATGAATTCTGGATGGAGAACATACATTATTTATCAGCCCACGGAATGCACGTGGGTAATGTGCGAAGGCTCATATTCATTAGTAGCAACTAAAAATAGTAGAAAACATGATTCTATGCTTCTAATGACTGGTTTAGGCAATATTGGGCTGAGATAACATTTGTGTCTGAAGGAACACCAGACCGTTCGTCTCGAAAGTAATGTCAGCTAGCTTAAGGAAACTGATACTCACCTCATCTAGTTGGTAAACGGTGCAGCGGACACTTGAAACTTTTGATATGAAGTCTGACTCCAAAGGGCGGCGAATATCCTGCAGAGTGTCAGTTATGAATTGGTCGACTGTGAGCGGACAAGACATAGCGCGCAAATTTACAGACGCCGCCACGCATGTGATTGGGATTCAGTTCAATGGGTCACGGATTCACTGATCCACGGATTGATACATAGGGTCGAGGCTTTTGCCCAGGTTTCCGTAACGGTTCTGTACTCGTCGTTTAGCGGCTGTCGTCCAACTGAAAGGAGCGAGTGAAAAATGGTGTAGCACTGTTCTTTATGTTCTTAGCGCGGGGAAGTATGCTTGCCAGCGCGAGAATTCGCATAAATAAATGTCTAACAGTGTTTTAAGCTGGGTTCTAGAAGGAGCGTGGACAACCGTCGGAGGAAGGTCATTCCACGAAGCTACTACCCGAAATGGGAAAAAATTTTGTTCAATGAATGTGTGTGCTCTGATCTTGAAAATTTTCTTATTATGCCCCCGCCGGTGTTTGCTGGGTCAACGATAAAAAAAACCTGTTAGCCAAGCTTTGTTCAAACAGAACATAATTATGAATTAGGTCTCCCCGGATGCGACGGTACTCCAGGGGAAAGAGATCAAGCATCGCGAGGCGCGTTTCGTAGTCCACAGATTTGAGGCCGGCAACCATTCCCGTAGCGGCCCGCTGGACACGCTCAATGAGGGTGACGTCGTCGTGAGTCCTGAATAGACAACCTGGTTGGCGTACACCAGGAGCGGTCTGACGTAGGCCCCATAGAGTATTTGGAAGTCCCTGTGAGTAATATGGGAGAAGGTGTGTCGGATCATCCGTAAAATGGCAAATGCCTTTTGGGCCGATTTCTCATGGTGCAGGGAGAAGGACAAGTTTGAGGTGACCCAGATGGCCAAATCCTTTTTGGCATCTATCCTTATGATGTCTTCTGGTCCCTTTTCACCATGCATTACAAATGCATTCGCTGAATCTCCTCCAAACGACATATGGACGCACTCTTCGTCATTCAGAAGAAGGTGCCAGCTCAGTGACCACTGCTTTGCATCATCAACCTCCATTTGCAGGGCACTGGCATTGGAACTCTAGGATTTCAAGTCGTCCGCAAAAATTATACATATACTTGCGAGAACATCTGGAATGTCGTTGACGTAGATCAGAAATGGCACTGGTCCCAGGACGGAGCCTTGAGGAACTCCAATGGAAACCGGTGCTGGAGAAGAGTGGGTCGAGCCTATTCTCACTCGGAATGATCTGTCTGATAGGAACACCTTGATCCAGCGAAGGATTTTTCCTTGAATCCCGTAAGACTCGAGTTTGTGGAGCAACAGGGCTTGTGGGACCCTATCAAATGCTTTTGCGAAGTCAAAAAATATGATATCCATTATGAGTCCTTCGTATTTGGCTTGGGTTAAGCTGTCCATGAACACGAGCATGATTTTCACGCAAGAAGGGTCTGGGAGAAATCCGTGTTGAGCTGAAAATATCAGGTTGCTGGAAGTAAGGTGATCTAGGATATCTCGCTTTTCACGCCACGTTTGTGAGGCTCATAGGCCTGTTGCTGCTAGGCGACAGTCGGTCGCCAGTTTTGTAGGTTGGCGTTACAATCGCTTCCTTCCAAATCGAGGGAAGGTTGCCTTCGTCAATCGACTGACGAAACACCAGGTATAAATGATTTGCTAGTGCAGACGACGTTTCCTTCAGGATCCTTGGGTGGACCTCGTCGGGCCTCAACGCCTTGACGGCTCCTGGTCACATGTGCATCGGACTCAAAAAGAGCTGCAGCAAGTAAATATTTGCGTAGAGAACCAAAGGCTCGTACAGTGAAGTGAGACGGTCAAGTATCTTACTATGATTGTACGGAAAGGAAAGTTTGGCCTTTGCCGCCAGTAGCGCTGTGTACAATGGACAGGCCCAATGACGCGTAAAAATTTCCCATTTAGCCAGACAGTGCAACTCTCTGTATGTAAACAAAGCAGTGAGGTGTGGATATCAGATGACTAAGCTAAGGACAGACTTCGTTTTGGGGGCAGAATGGTATAACACAATTATTCGTGGACAGAGAACGGAGGTCGGTGGACCCTACCGACCAGATCCAGATGAGTACAAAGATTCCCGCTTTAGTGAACAACACATGTAACGTTCTTTCGAAAATGAGTAAAAAATGATTATTCTGGGTTTGGAGGCAAACGAGGCCATGAGTCTTATGCAGGGATTGTGTATTAATAATAATACTATTGTTTATTTCCCAACTTGTGGGTGGCATACCTTCGGGCATGATCATGCGTTTACAGTCAGAATGGGGCATGTGACTGAGGGATTCCGCGAAATGAGGACAATGTTATGAACAGTGAGGAGTATTCGATGAAATAATGATAACAGGTTTCTTTCGCAACTTGTAGGGAACAGTGGGCATGAAGTCCGACTAATTCAAAGACGCAGTCGGTTGACATGCACTAAAACTGAGTAAATGGCCGGAGTCACAACGAGATAAAGTGGAGGTGAAGATGCGATAATTCGAATTGGGAGAACATGGCAAGTTTGGTCTCAAAAATGTGGTGAAATCTGAGAACAAACAGACTCACTGGTTGCACTGTTGTAGGAAAGTTAAGTGCTGGGGTCTAAGTTGGATGAGGACACAAAGGTGGCTGGATTCGAACGAGAGGTCCAACAGGTTGGAATGAATGTCATGGTGGTGGTTGGGGTCAATGAATCGCATACGCAAGTGGGCTCGTTTGGGGGGAGGAATGGAACAGTTGCGGGTGTGCTATCAAACTGAGTATGGCAGTGCCGTGCCATCATTGGCCTGGCATGCTTCAGTTTTTGGAAAGCCCCGTGATGGACGTCGCATTTGAGATCATTCGGCTGGGGTGTGTAGTTCACTGGGCAGCGGTATTCATTTCAGCCTGGTCAGGGGTAAAACGTGGAACGAGGATAATATGGGATTGTAGGGTTTTTTGTGGTCCGCTTGGCGATCACGGAGTTGTAGATCATAGGCCGGGTGGGGTGGAGATCAGCTAACCAGGTCGTCCAAAACGGGTACTTCCGAAGTTCAAAGCTTGGGAAGATGATGGGATGGAGGGAGATTCGCAAAACATGGTGAATTTGTGGGGATAAAAATGGATATTATGCATTATTGAACTCAGGGGAAAAACTTGACGCCTGCTGCAATTAATGTGATGGCAAGTGATCATTTGGAGTATGAAATAGATAAATTTGTACTTAGGAGGCTAGCGACCAAGGGTTGAGCTTGCTAACATACGATATTACATTGCAAGGTGTCTAGTAAAAGCCGATAAAAGCGCGCAGAGGTGTGGTATGGGAATCAGATGCATAAAGGCTGGCGGGAGTAGAATCCTAAAATAGCTGGCTGAGTTGGGCTATACCAGGAGAGAAAGTGTGTGCAAGGGAAATAGTCACTAGTCCCCGAAGCACTGCTATCAGCTCTAATCTGTAGATGGTGCATAGCAAGTATATACCACTATTCAGTGTCTATCACGGGGAGCGGTGAGTAGATGTATTCTCTGTCTGGATGACGAAATGGGCTTTGGTGCGGTGTAGCATCTGTTTTGAGGGCAGATGAGCTATGCTAAACAGTTCTTTTTTATTTCCTGAAGGTGTGTAGGTTAAAACGACAGTAAATAATAGTCAAATGACAGATCCTTTGAGGATGCCACTCTAACCGATCGGAGAATAACCGGCCGATCCTCAGTTTTGAGTACAGACGCGGCATAGACGTGCTCTTCTTGTTCTTATTTTACCACTGATTGTGGCCATTGCAGCGAATCCTAATATGGGGGCCATGTGATGTCTTTGCCAGAAAACCCGTCACATCTGACGTCAAAGAGGGGAGTTCGAGAACGGCTATCGCTGGATATTTGTACCGGTATCACCCTTATTTACTGTTCGCTCGCCACAGGCGTGATCGCGTCGACCGTATAGCTCGGAAAGAACAACAGCTCACTCTCTTGTGCAGACGATATTGATAATAGGTCTATTTCCAAACTTGAAGAGATCATATTAGATGAGGATTGATCTGTCCGGTAAAACCCGGAAATGGCACGTAACGACATTACGGAGAGGGAAGTAAAACCAAAAGTACATACCGATCACGTGGACCCTGGAAAACAAACGGGCTAGATCGTGAGTCCCGTCCTGTCGAGGGGAAACAATTGCTGCAGAATAATCTCTTTTGCAACCATCTGGTGCAAGCGCCAGCTCAGAGACCCTGGTATTCCTTTAGGCATGGTCATAAAAGTACAGTCGGAGATCAGGCCTATAAATGTCAATGCGGGCGCCCAGAAATGCGCAAAGGTTACAAGTTAAAAGTGAAGAGTTATATAAAAACGGGCATCCTCCAAATTTGTTGGAACCATGGGGTTCTGTTATGGTGGTATCGGAGCCTTCGCAATGAGGATAAATGAAGGGCAATGTGGTAGTATGACGAGTTGTAAGTGAGGGTCAGTAAACACCACCGACCGTTTACACGTTGCCTAATGTAATGAGAAATCGCGAATTGTGTAAAACGTTGACTCACAATGGACGGAACTTTTAGACAGCTTCTAGCTGAGATAATGCCCTGACCATTCTAGAATCTGCATGGCGTTTGGGAATGCAAAATATGAGGGGATGCATTCCTGGAAAAACTTTTTCTTGACAATTGACGTTGCCAGTTAAAATTCCGTAGTCCACGTTCATTATTGACAGAATCTCGTGCAAGTTTGTTGGGAGACAGCAGAATTCTCCATTTAGGTTGTGATTTATGCTAGGAAGACCTCGACTTTCATTGATTAGCCACAGGGAATCTACGTCGATCATAGCGGACAGGTGGTGGGGTTTGTGAGTACGGTACGTGGAAAAAGAACGGTGACAAAAACAGTGGTTTTTATCCAAAGTAGACCTGGTCACACATGAGGCGGCATGGCTAAGCAACCAAAGTTACAAGGGCTCTTCCTTTGATATAGGAAACATCAAATGAATCAACATACGACCGTCAAGATTTGAAAGTCCGGCAAAAACAATACGAGTGAGGCAGGTTGGTTTGCTTCCTGTGTGCAGCAGAACTGCTACGATCTGACCGGCCAGTTTGAACTAA